TATGTAAGATTAGTTAAATCCAAGCATCTCAATCTCAAAAACAAGGCTCGTGATGCGCTCTCCAGAAGGATCCATTGGATAACTGGCTGAGGGGCTAACCAATAACTCCTTGGTCGGCTGAATGACCGGCTGCCTGGGTTTATTTGACAGCTGACTGATGGATTGACTGACTGACAAACTTAATTACTGCCCAACCAATTTATCAACAAACCAAATATAACTGACAGCGTCACCAACTAACCGTGGATGTCTGGAGCCATCTACTACCCACCTTCAAAGACACTGGAAGAATTGCTGACGTCGCAAATAAAGATCTTTGTCCAGATTTTGCCCAGACCCGCAGATCATTGTCCAAACTAATCAATTCCCAATTACTTTTACCTAATGGTAATATCTAAAAAATATTTTGATAATTAATTAACCCTTTAAGTGGCAATGCACCCTGACGTGCCCTTTTTTACTCTGTCTATAGCTAGATGATTTCACTCATCAGGGGGAGAGAGCTGCCACTCAATGGGTTAATATACTACTCATTAATTAAGTCATAAGCCTGCCAAGTACCCAATTATTCATTTCCAGTAACATACTTCAACATGTATTAAAAATTAATGGTTTACAAATGTGTGGTGAACCCATCAATGCCCAATAGTCCAAATTGTCTGGCATTTGGTAGATTGAAATAACAATATAAGGTACGTAAGGGCATAGTTACTTTGGCAATTTACTCTGCCTGATGCCAGACAATTTTATTTGTCCCTGTGATGAGCCCTGATCTGTCTGTGCAGCTTAATTTATACTTGTTAGTGACCTGAGACTTAAGCCTTGATTGGTTTGTGAATCACAAGGGCACTCCAAGACTGCATATACCGCCACAAGAAAATTAAGTTATGTATCATGCATTGATCATAGAATGGACTGATTATATGCATTCAGTTTAGTCTGCCCAGAAAAGTGCTAATTTCTCATCCAAATTTAACTAAAATTTAATCCCATTAATAGTCCTACAAATGTTCATATTAATATGTTTGATCATTGTTGAGTTATCATGCTGACACACACACATATGAACATGTATGATAACATAACCTCCTGGCAGAGGTCATTATGCTTTTATACAACAGCCAACAATTATCACTTATTTACTGAGACCAATTAAGGGAAACTAATTTTTTGGATCCAAGGCGGCCGAGGGGTCACAAAACACACTGCTTTCCCAAGGTCTCAGCAAATAAGTGTAATTTTGTTATATTATACAGTATATATTAAGTAATCATGGTGTAATTGTACTCAGGTGAATATAATGCCACCGTGGTTAGGCATATTTTTCAAGCTTGCCCAGTGTGGATATACACTCAGAATAACACCACAAGCATAGTATATAAGTGTCATGAAATTATGAATAATTCACCAGTTATCGGAGTGAACTTTGAAACCAAAATGAACTTTGGAACTTCGCAGTTGTCACACATGTGCACTGCACCCATTCTATTGTGGACTGGTCAATAACAGACATTCCAACTCTCCCGATTTTACCGGGAGTCTCCCGAAAATTCATGCAATCTCCCGGTCTCCCGATTTTTATCAAATTCTCCCAATTTTTCAGAATATTCAGGAAATATCATAAACAATTATAAATATATTGTTTTTAGCCACATAATAGTCTGTCTTGACCTTCTTTGAAGTTGCTTTATGGCAATGTATAGGATCACTTATAACAACATAGTCCCAAAATGCAGGAAACGCCAGTTTCAGAAGACTTAATTTTTATTATTTTTTCCCAGAAAAACTAGATTTCAATTCACTGAGCAGTCTCCCTAAATTTAACCTCCAGTGGTTGGAATGTCTGCAATAAATATGTTCTATTATGGACTGGTTGCCTCATTGCCAGGGCAATGCAGTAAACACAACATTTTGCGGATTGGTACGCAATACGCTTTTGTCCAATTAGAGGACAGAAAAATTGAACTTTGACACTAACTATTATAACAATAAACTTTGAAATACAATAATTAGCAAACAAGTATTTTAATAATTAATAACTGAAGAAAGAAAGAAAGGGCAAAGTTTAGCTTGCTCTAATGCTCTGATGATCCACATAATTACATAATCAGGATAATGCAACATGGACCAAAACAGAAAAAAGTTCCAATTATATAATATGTGACAATTACAAAACACTATTATTAATTTATCTCAAAATTACTTTAAAATCATTGAAACAAATTATTAATAAACTATTAGAATTCATAAAATTTGCACCTTTCTGACGAAATTATAGCGCGCTGAAGGAGAGTTTCCAATGCGTGTATCCTTCTATACAATGAAAACAATAAAATACAAACATATGTAGAATACATTCGAAATCGAAGGCCATTTTCGTAATATTGTCACGTGTGATTTACGAAATTATTGATAAACATTCACATACTTTTTGTTGATTGAAGAAGTAATATATCAAAATCCCTGCAGCCAATGTTGTAAAAATATAAAATAAATACGCGAACAAAGCCATTTGCTACAGCATTTGTGATTTTTGTCGTATATATGTAAAAGATTTTTACAGTATTATACTTTTCAAATCAACCGCAAATGTGACAGAACATATTTACATGGCATAGAACAATTCGGCGTACGCCGGAATGAGGTCGGGTTATGATCGACCGTCGTCGATCTGAAACCAAACTGACTACGTCATTTTATTTGTTTTCAACTTTCAAGTTATTCTTATTGGATTTTCTTGATTAATTTGGTTACGGTTAGGTTAGGGTTGGAGTTAGGGTTGGGTTAAGGTAGGTTTGGGTTAGTTACATAGTCATTTCATCTTCCGACAATGACGTCATGTCAGTTTGGTGGTTGGAAATGAGTTCAATGGTACTGACCGAACTTTTGTTGCCCCCTGTAACAGAGCAGGTGTTGAAGCCTCGAAAAGCTCTACAGATTAATTAAAGTATAACTTGCCATCCAGTGACAGGAATATTCCATTGTCCTTTATTCCATTTGCAAATGTATGGCCGATGGCGTGGAGAACAGTGGAAGTCTTCTATTTCTTCTATTTTCTTCGTTTCTCAATCTCTCCCGTCGTGTAGCTTGTGGGCATCTCATCTTAGTCACTTCTTCACTTGTTCTTCCTTGACTGGTCAGATCTCTGCGACATGACCTGTCTTACCATCGTTCTGTACGTGTAACTGCGTCTTCAGATTCATACCGTTTGACGTCAGTGAAGAATAGTTGGAATCTTTAAAGCGATAAAAAGGCAATGGAACATTCTCATCACTGGATCATAAGTAGATCACAGCATGAGACTGTTATTAGTTTTTCAAATGGTCCTTCCCTTTGAATAGCTTTAAGCATAACAACACTGTCCTCCAGTTGTTCTGCAGTCTCAACAGATCCCTCCTGTCAGAGACAGATCTTTCCTGTTAGATCTGTTGATGGAGAGATACAAGCAAGACTTCTAGATCCTGCAGTCTTGCTTGTCTATTAACAAATCTCTCCACAGCAAACGTCCTGGATATCTGAACCAAACCCTGATTCTGCTGTTGTTTCAGTGTTTAGTACGGCCGGATCCGAGAATCTTATTGTGGATCAAAATCAAGGTACTCTCTATTTTGCCTTAACTTGTGCACAGACTTCACAGACTGCATTACGCCTATGTTATTTCATGCAGGCATTGGGAAAATACATAGTACATAACTCAGTTTATGTCCAGGCTGTTCTAGTGTTCTCTACTTTGAGCAACGTTTTCTACTGACATTTAATTACAACGTTTCAGATCAACAAATCTCTTAAGACGTCTTAACAATCGTGCGCGAGTATTTAACATTTTTAATAATGAAAAATCATTTCGTATGTTTGCACTACAAATCCGCACGAATTAGGCTCATCTAACAAATTGAATTAGGTGACCCAGACACACATGCATTTCGGAATGTCCTTTATTATAAATTAGTCAGTTTGCCGAAAACGATCTTCTGAGCATAAAGTAACGAACGTGGTAAAATAAATTATAATGTTTATAATGCACGTGGAATTCTATGTTATCAAATAGTACAAAAATATTATGCCGGTTTTGTCTGTAAATTGAACCGTTGAATCATATGGTACTTTTCAATCATTTGGACAGCCGTTCAATTACTTTGAATTTTGAATAATTTGAATTCTAATTGGTAATACAAAAAGGAGGTTCGCCAGTCAAACAAACATGATTAAACGGCGAGGTTGTGTAATCATTTGCAGCAATAATATTTGTTCTACGGCTTCGAACTTGTCGACATAAAGTCCACAAAAATGTTCTCATTATCAATGGAACATAGGACTACTTTGTTGGGACAGTTCATTGTGACAATATTCACTGGGAAGACAGGAGCTGTGACTACATTTTTAGATTTGTAAGGAAACTGGAATGGCTACAAACGCTAAGCCGGCGGAAAGTACCCTGCTTATGACGTCATTTACACGTCAAATAGATTGAAATGCCTCACTTGCAGTTTTAAGAGCTCTCGCTCCGGAACTCAACTTTGAAACTATTTTTATTAATAAAGAAAAAAGAAACTGTCATACACATTGAGAGCATGGTAAATTAAAGCAGATGGAAGCCAGCTGGAAGCAAAGTTTATTTTGACTGTCAAGTGAAAGTGGTTCGGTCGTTTACCCACGAGTTTGGAAGATTAAACGAATTTATTAAATTTAAATACCTCAATAATCTAATGTAAATGTACGAAAGAATTTAATAACTGTCATATTACAAAACATTGCTGCATCAGTAATTGGCTCAAACTATGCGGCTGGAGTTGGAACCTGATCAGAAGTAGAATATATACTATAGATAGTCGATGCATATCCAATTACATCTGTCCATTTTGCAGACAACATACAGGCGTCTGGTCGAGGACTGCGTAAACATTTGAAATGTGGAAATATTTATCAACTGTTTGGCACATTCTTTGGTTAAATTAATCTCGAGGTTAAAGTCTGTGGGAATTTGAAGTTGGTCTAAAGTTATGGATGGATTACACCTTCCAGAAATCGGTCAATTTGGTGAGGACAGGGGAAGGTGTTTAGGTAGAATGGATAAAAATATCACGCAACACGAGGGGCTGGCATTGACTGGCAGGAGGCAGACGAACTCTGGGGAGAAACGTCGGTCTATCAATGCAAGTAAATCAACAAAAAAGAAGCGAACAAATAATGATAACCGAGAACGCAAAACAACCTCAAACAAAGCCTCAAATACAGGCAAAAGTGTACAACCAAAGACTCAAAATACGCGTAACTCGAATATCGGATTACCTAAAATTACTACAAACAATGAGGAAGATACAGTTAAATCTAACGAAAACAGCGGGGCAAAGAAAGCGAGACGAACAAAACCTGGTAAAGGAGACACCATATCTTACGTGTACTCGAAATCATTGCGGGATGAAAATACCATGGCGTTTTTACGAAACAGCGTTGATTTCGAGAAAGATTTTAATACGAGCTGTAGGGACAAGAGGTCAAGCTCTGATCATAAAAAGCCATACGGGCTACCAGCATTGAAGCTGAGTGAGGGGGCTGACGAGAGGGAACAGTTTCTTAACAGAGAGTTGGATTTTAGTGACTGTTCCGAAACTGAAAGTTTGTTGAACGCTTGGGAAGCAATTGATGATGAAGATTCGAGTAACGGTACGACGTCCACCTATCACTCGGCGGATTGTTCGACAGGGAACGATGACTAGCAGACTCAGCCCAACAAGGGATTATACACTCCCAGATATCCTTTATTCCAACTCAAGACAATCCACTGTAGCGCTTTCTCGCCAAGCTGTAGTTTAGCGGAAGATTTAATTCTTAAATTCTTCAAGATCCGGTTGGCAATTCGCCCTATTGTGTCCATTGTTAATAAGACAGGACAGACATAGTAGTCGTATACTTCGTATCTTGTGTATTTTCTACCTGGAACCGAATTCAGAAGCGTGTGCAGATTTGAACGATCGTACCTTTCGTGTGCACACGAACGCTCCGGTCTCGTGTTAGCGTTGATTGTATTCAAGCACAAGTATAGATTGTACTGTACTGTTCTTGGAACTGCTCAGGGTTCAGTTGTAAGAAGGCATAACCTCCATATCGGTAGTTCTAAACCTGGTTTCCATATGGTCGTAACGGTCGTAAAGATTGAGTCACGATCTTTCTCATCAGCCGAAATACAACATTTTAAAGCTGAAAATACACAGAGTGATTATAACTAGAGAATATTTATGATTTATATGTGGTTTACAGGTATAAACTATTATAAACTGGCCGTTGCGAAAGATCGTGGCTCTATTTTTACAACCATATGGAAACCAGGCTTAATTAAAGCTTTTCAAGTGTTTTAACAAAGGTTGAAAAACCCACTATCCTGTGGATAGCGCTATCAGGCTTTCGTACAACCGACCCCAGAACTCTAACTGAACACGGAGCTCAACAAAACTGAATATGTGCTTTTGATAAGCTATACTCTTGCATACCAACGTCCATTCAGATGGTAAATAAATATCCTAAGGGGCGGACCATTAGAAATCCCGGGAGGGGGGGGGTGAAAATTCCCAAAAAAAAATTCGTGCAAAGAAAAATGCCTGGAAAAAAAATTCGTGGAGCCATTACGTCAGAGAAAAAAAATTCGTGCAAGCAAACAGAAAAGTCATGGGTGTACCGGGCAGTTGGCAGTCGGGCAATATTCGCTGAACAGTCGGGCAATTTTAGTTTATTAAAAAAATTTTTTGACAAATTCTGTCAATTTTGTGGTAACTTTTGGTATGTGGTATGTCCGGAAAAAATTTTTCACCCCTAAAATGGTACACTGACCGAAATTTTTTTGGCGACGGGGGGGGGTGGGGAAGGTCGCCAAAACAAATTCCGGAAAAATAGTCTTGGAAAAAATAGTCTTGAAAAAAAATTCGTGCAGAGGTTAAATGCATTAAAAAAAATTCCTGCAGAGACACGAGACTGAAAAAAAAATTCGTGCCGCAAAAATTTTATACTCCCCCTCCCGGGATTTCTAATGGTCCGTCCCTAATGTCTCGCGCTTGACTGCTTCCTCGTTGTCGCAGATCTTGACCCCAAACACAGAAAGAGTGAAAGACGAGGATATAAACGTAACAAAAACAAAAGTACGTAAAAATCTCACAACTTGTCAATAAGATGTGTTCGTAACAGGCTTGTAGCAAGCGTGTCAATGCTGTTATTTTATCAAGTTGCTGCAAGGTTGTCACTCACAACTTGTTGACAAATTGTTAAATTGCAGGACGATAACAAGTTGTTGGAACAACTTGTAACAATTCTGTTGAGCTCAACAACCTTGTAGCAAGTTGTCAACAAGCCGTTGACAACTTGTTAACTAGCTGGGAACAAGCGGTGCGAACACATCCTGTTGAGTGTTGACAAGTTGTTGGAACAGCATTGCTACAAGTCTGCTGCATGTTTGTTACAACTTGTGCGTTTTTACGAGTGTAGAAGTGAAGCAAATAAAAAAGTATATTCGATACCAGACAACACATTGTTTCTCTATTTTATTCTTGTTGCGTACAATATACAGCTCGCTTGTACATACATACATACATACATGCATGCAGTGTGTAAACTACACGCTCACCAAATTCCATTACAATAATATAGTACCTGTTAAATGAAGCAACATAAACAACCAAAACTCAGAAATGATAACCAACATAATCGAGTCTTTGAAACAAATAATAGAAACTCGTTAGAGTCCAATGAATGAGTTAACACAAAGCGTATTTAGAGATTGCGAAGAGTAAGTCCTATAATGGTTTAATATAATGCATGCGTATGCTAAATTAACCCTTTTAATTAAGTAAGCTGGCTTTTGATGCGTGATAATTTAGGCGTGTTCAATTCGCGGCGACTGCCCCATTCTCCATTCCAAATGCTTCCAAAGGATCCGAATCGTTTTTCTCATCTAGAATTTCTTCGAGTTCAACTTCACCATGTCTTGATGGCAAGATACGAAATATTCTCAAATGCATGAAGTTGTCTTCTCCGACCTGAACCTAGAGGACATGGAGTGTCGAGTTGAAATAGCAGAAAATGAAGAATTAAAAAGAATTCAAGGTGGAATGGCTGAAGAACTAAACTAGACCGCAGGAATAGACATTTCCGGTAATTACGTCACGACTAACACTGTTTTCAACAACACATGGCCCCTCAGCCTCGTTTTCGTGTTTACGCTTATTACCATATTTAATAGTCAAAATCCAAAACTCTTTTTTATACATGTGTTGACGAAGGATGTTCTGCTTCTCTGACCGTAGCCCGTGAGAAACAAACTTGAAATTTATTCCATTTAAGGTGGTCCTAAGTTGAAAACAGTGTAGTTCTGACGTAATTACCGGAAAGGTCCATTGAACTCGCTCTAAGCCGGTCTCTCAAAAGTGAGCCCATGCAAAGGGTTTTTAATCGAAGTTATGAAGGGTGCAGGCAGGCCGCAGAAAGAATTTAAAGGCAGGCGGGCGGGCAAAAATTCCTTTGAGATGCAGACTTGGAGCAAATCTAGCTAAAGTCTGGTTTCCACTATCAGGCAAAGTTTCTGTGATCACAGTAGGAATTTTGCATGAGTACTTCTATGTTTTGAAGGATTTGTAAGAAATATTTGAGGAAACTGACTTCTTAGAAATCCTTCAAAACTTTGAAATTTACCTATGCGCAGTGATTACTACTGTGATCACAGAAACTTTGATAGTGGAAACCAGAGTTATATTCCCTTTCAAAGCCCATCCAATCTTACCAAATTTATTTCATGACCCACCCACCCAATCTAAATTGGGAAAATACACTTTTATAATGAAAAAAACTTCCAGGTATGAACATATATCAATACAGTGCTGGTGTATATACAGCGGTGCCATCAATACACACGCCGAATTAATTCATTTTCATTTAATTTACAACTCGCCCTTCACAAATTTTTTTGAAGATAGTGGACTAGTCTCAACTAGACACAACGAACCCCTTACCCCATCCATACGAACTCTCTGACGAAGGGACTTCACATGGAAACGTCGAAAGTCTACGCGGGTATAGCTTCATGCAGGCTGGCGAAAACCACAACTGCTTATGCAAAGGAAGTCAATAAGTGCGTACCTTTATAAACACAATAATCCTGCTGTTCACATAGTCAACCAATGTGCGATAAGAGGAAGCTTTGAAATCAGAAAACGTTTTCGATGTTTTCTCTTGCACTTTCTCTTTTACCTGAAAAGTAACAATTCCAAAATTGATTGTAGGAATAAAATCAATAAGTTAGGAAATTAATTAAAAATGATCAATCACCTAATCCAATCAACCGAAAGTAATTTTTGTATGGTGGTAATCAGTTTGTTACTAAATTTATTCATCTACAAGGCATACTGCTGCGCGTGTTGCATTTCATCATGGCAAATCATAACCAATCAAAACCAGTTATAAAGCTAGGATCCCAAACATGGGCAGAAATTCCATTTAACTTCAATGGACATCAGTAACACCACTGTGCAAGTTTCAAATCACCATAACAAATCATGTTCTTGTCAGGGCATGTTGTCATCATGTCATGCAGTATATTAGCTGTCCTCTGGTGTTACATTGTTCTTCTATTAGCCGTGATTTAATAATGTCTGACGGCTTCTTTTATCTATTCTGACAACAGAGTTCCAGCCAGTAACATCTTCGTGTGATTGTTTACTTATTTTTGATTAATCGCGTTCATGGTATAAATAATTCAATCAACCTATTGTACAGGAACGTTTGAAGTATTATACACCGTAATTCAAACAGAATACCCAGATATCACAGAAACTTCCATATCAAAGGAAACGCCGAAGGACCAACTTTGGCTCTCTCTCGAAGGTTAGTAACGTTGGTTTACACTATCAAAGTTTCTGTGATCACAGTAGGAATTTTAAATATTAGTAAATTCTAAGTTTTGAAAGATTTGTAAGAAATGTTTGAGAGAACTGACTTAATGTTTAACAATGAGTCCCTCAAATATTTTTAGAATTAAAACATCACAAATGGTAAAACATCAACAGAACAACTTTGTTAATGGGGGAGAAATCTTCCCAAATGGAACAGGCCAGAATCTTTCCACGGCACATTCTGATATATCCGGACAATTATGACACGAATTATATATGCTGGATGGTGGAGTGATGCACACATTGACTTTGAAAAATATGACTAGTTGATTAATTGCAACTTTTAATTTGACAAAGCTATCAAGCTAGTTGAGAAAACTCAATAGGGGAAACTTTAATGCCAACTATAACTTAGCGTGAGTTCTCAACACTTTGAAGTGAGTGAATCTGACGTCTGTCATAACATGCTCTCGTAAACCGTTCGTTCTAGAAAGGCGTAAGGATGCAAACTCTCATAACATGTTTATTAATAGCCTGGCCTGCTAATTCTCCAACCAATTGGCTATCTGTTGCCTAAGCGAGACTTTTTTCACAACGTCATCATCTAGATGCTTTATTATTGTAGGTTTTATCGAATCGATTTATCAAGCAACCAGAATTGAGGGAGAATTGCTTGCAACTTGAGTTGTACTGTGCAAATCAAGCGCGCAACTCAGCTACAACACGTCCAACTCAAGCTGCATGTAAGCTGGTAGGTGAGTTGTGTGCTTGATTTCCACAGTACAACTCAAGTTGTAAGCAGGTCAGTTATATGCGACAGTTTTAGGCAAAAGTTGTGTAGTGCACTAGTCGGCCTTTTTATAATTTGTTTGATGATTGGTGATTCATTCAGAAAATATTTCAGTTCAGTGACAGTGATCAGAATGCTGACTTTAGATTCGAGATTATTCAAAAAGTGAAGTGTTTCGACACCGTTTGGGCAACACAAACCACCACTTCTGAACTGCTGAGGAAAACGAGCAACATTTAACATGTCCGACTATCGCTTTATATGAATTAGTTTTCTAATTCATTCTAGTAGCAATTAATACACTTGCCTTCTCGCACATATCTTGTACTTCGTCATCAGCTGGCTTCACAGGGCTTGGTTTGGGGTTGCGAACCATATTCTCTTCACAAACACAATCACAAAACGTATCCGACTCTTCTTCTTCGTATCCGACCCGTGCTTCAACTGTCAGTCTCAGACCACACTAGACATTTATACATATGGTAATTATGCACCACTTAGGGGCTCTTGACAAAATTACAGCTATTATTCCCTCACAGTACGGAGCTTTAACTGCTAGATTATTAGTATTGTATTCATTGTAGTTTATTTCAGTACAATATATGATATTAGTCCAAAGTCGCATATAAAAATCACCAGGAGACCAATAATTCAATCGACAATCGGTACACTTCATGCTATACATTTTATGCATGGTTGCTTACAGTACTGACCACAGACCGCCATATCTGGTTACACAGTAAGGTATAGCTTCATGACAATGGTCTTTTTGCAGTTATTGGTACGTACAATTAAACATCCATAGCATTGACGTCTCGTACGGTCCTTTTGAATTTTATTCGGCACCTTGTACAACGTTTAAAGCCGGGTTTGTCTGGTTTCAAAAGAATAAATTGGAGACAATGCGCGTATAAGGCAGCGTTTACACTGTACCGTTTTCGTAGCGTTCTCGTATTGTTCTTAATCCTCAAGGGAACGCAAGACAATAGTCTAGTTCTCTCGAACAATACGAGAACGCTACGAAAACAGTACAGTGTAAACGCTGCCTAATTGCAGTATGAACCGAAACACAGAATTTTGCGATTGGCTGATAATGCATGGTGGAAGAAAATTAAGGCCTTTCGGAAGAAAAATGAGATGTTTTAAAAAATACTACACCTACGAGTTCCTATACGAGGACAATTTATGAAGGTGTTTCCTTCGCAAACCTGTGATGATATGCTTTTGTGTCCAGAACAATGATATTGCCTCGTTCTTCAGAAAAACTCCAATTGGAGAAGATTTTTTACTCAATGTCGTCGTTTACATAAAAGACGCAATAAAAGTTTTTATTAGCAAAACAATACAACGTGCAAGATATAGATTTCATCTTTATCAAGGATGAATACATTATATATATATATTTGGTTAAACACAACTTGCATACATAATATTATGTGAATAAATAAATATTAATCTATTAATATTGGTCACACAACGACCATCACTTTGCTAATGCTGACACGAATTTGTGGAAGCAGCTCATGAACATTATTATTCTTATTACTTACTAACATCACCATTGGCAGGACACAAAATATTTTATCTGGTTAGTTTTCCATTCCACTCTTTGCTACTGCCATGACATAACATTTGATAGTACCCTGTACACACTGTACCAATATTATCTATTACACACTACGCTTTACTCAACTACGAGTTCATGATCATCAATGGTGTGAAAATGAGCAATCATTAAAGCTTCGTCTTCCGTTACCAGTTTTGTACGATTCTGCAAAATGTTCATTGGATGAGTGAATACAAATTTGTACTGTGAATGTTAGAACGGGATAGTGTACACCAGGGGCGGCGGAACAGGGGGGGGGGGGCGAGGGGGGCTTTAGCCCCCCCAGAAGAAAAAGTGGGGGGCTTAGCCCCCCC